CTCCTTTGCACGCTCCTCCTTCGTCGGAGGCTCGCAATGAAACGCCCACAAGCTTTGCCACACGTTAACGTGGGACTGCTCCGACCCCCACGTCTCCCCTCCGAGCTGCGTCACGAAGTACTTGATGGCATTTTGCACCAAAAGACTGTCCTTGTCCAACACCCAGCGAGGGTCCCTCCTGTTCGGCGCCAGCAAGAAGTTAGCWGCATGCGCAGGCTGCCTCATCATCTTGCATCGATCATGAAYAATCGCCATGACGTCCTGCCGCTGCTCCTCCGTGAGGCCGAAGATCGTGCGCAACCGCTTCTCCAAAAGCTCCCCAAACCCCCACAATTGTGAGGGTGCAACGCCGTCGCGGTCCATCCTACGCAGCAACTCGTTCACAGGCCGCATGACACTGACTATTCGCTGCACCTCGATCCACCATTCGTCGGAACGGACCGTGAGGAATATCCGTTTCGCCTTTCGACGGAGCTTCCTTGTGCTCCAATGGATGTTGTTTCAACCCCTCTCCATCATCTCCTTCAACACCCAATCCCTGTCACACAGCCTCTCAAGCATTTGATACATTGAGGCGAACCTAACTTCTGTGGGCATGATGAGGGTCTTCGTTTCCTCCAATGAACATGCTGAGAACAAAGCCAYTGTGCGATGGTGGTTCYTGATGAACTTCACCATCATCTTYRCCCTCTTCACAATCRTAGCAACCCACGRGAGTTTCGCGATACCCTTCAGCAGCAAACTCAAGGTGTGTGCAGCACAGRGGACCCAGRGGATCCTTGCAATGTACGGATCCTTGCGAAGAGATAGGATCCTCGCTGCCCGTTTGTTCACTTGTGCGTTGTCYGTGCAGATGGCATTCACCCTATGGACCCCGATCTCCCGGATTACCTCCTCCCATAACTTGGCAATGGCAGCYGCATTCGTCTTCCTATGGCTCATGTCAACCACCTTGATCAGCACTGCTCCTCCTTCCCCSRCGCCTATGAAATTGRTGACGGGTCTCCACCTTCGATCAGTAGTGTYGTYCGTGATGAGTGTGCAGCCTGAAATGTCCCACTTGTCCATCACGGGTCGCACWWCCTGCTTCACCTGGTCATACACAARATCCAATATGGCRGTGCGGACTGTCTCGAACATCGGCATGTCCACCTTCGCCTTGGTGGCCCCCAATTCCATGTACAGGTTATGGAGGGCGCGCGTCTCATCTTGTCTGACGAAATTGAAAGGGACCCCGGACCTGAACAACGCCCTCCCCCATTGGGTGTCCAACCTCTTCTGGGCTGCGTTCTCGGCCCACTTCCGGATCGAGGTCTGTGTGGTTCTCGTGGACTTTGACCCGGATGTGGAGGCTTGGAAGGAGGGCCCTGATGTTGGAGGGACTATTTTGTCTTGTGTGTCCTCCACAGGGGCTCCTACCGCTGCTTGCCCTTCAACCCGCACTTCTCTCACAAGCGCAGGCGGCGGCCTGAGAAGCTCTTCCATCTCATCTGATTTGCCTGTCACCAATGCACCAGTCGGCTCCATCCCTGTATCCTCTGCAATCCCTTTCTGTACACGATACTGATGGACCATCTTCTTTGCAGCCTCCCCCTCAATCTTCCCTCCCCTTAGTGCCAGGAGATGCAGTGAACTGCTGGTGGCAAGAAGTGTTCCCGTTCCTGTATGGACAAGGCTTCCCCTTCCGCAAGAAGTGTTCCATCGCTCGGGTGGAGGACGCAGTGAACTGCTGGCGGCAGAGCTTGCAGCGGACCCAATACTGGCCGTACCCTTTTGGCTCTGCTGCCTGCCCCCGCACTATCCACTTGTACACGATGTTGTCCTTCTGCAACGCCTCCTGCTTTTTGTCTGGTTGGGCCTCGAACGGTGGCTTATCTTTGGGTGCACCTGCCTTCACTTTGTCCTTGCCTGCACTGCTGCTGCTCTCGCCTGGTGCCACCATGATGAACTGAGAAGATAGACGAAGAAGAAGAAGAATGAAGAAGAATGAAGAAGAAGAAGAACGAAGAAGAACGAAGAACGAAGATAGAGAAAGAAGATAGAGAAAGAAGAAGGAGAGAGAAAAAAGGAGTGCAGTATTAAGAAACGGTACGACTGTTGGGGGCATAGCATACTGCACGCCTCCAGCTGGAAGATGGTGCTGCAAGTGCGGATCACAAAACGGAAAGCACACCGTATTAAAACAGATGCCACCGGTCCATTGCCACAACGTGAAGGAAAAAAGGGCACAACGATGTTAAGGAGGAGGTGGACTGATCTGATCTGATCTTGATCAAACAGATCAGATCAGATCAGATCAGATCAGAACAGATCTGAGCAGCGAAGTTGCGGACTTAAAAAAAGAAAAAAAAGAAAAAAAAGGTCTACTTCCCCTCACCTCCGCCTCCTTTGCTGATCAGAACAGATCAGATCTGGTCTGATCACAACAGATCAGATCTGGTCTGATCACAACAGATCAGATCTGGTCTGATCAGAACAGATCAGATCTGATCTGGGATGACATGATCAGATCTGATCTGCTCACATCAGATCAGATCAGATCAGATCTGATCAGATCAGATCAGATCGGATCAGATCGGATCTGATCTGATCAGATCAGATCGGATATGATCTGATTAGATCAGATCGGACCTGGTCTGATCAGAACAGATCTGATCAGGTCCGATGTAATCTGATCTAATCTGATCAAGTCAGATCAGATCAGATCTGATCAGATCCGATCTCATCCGATCCGATCTGATCGGATCTGATCTGACGTGATCAGATCAGATCTGATCTCCCCCTCCTCCACCACCTACCATCAAGATCCCGTCCTCGTCGTCGTCCTCCTCCTCCTCCTCCTCTTCTTTGCTCCTCCTCCTCCTCCTCTTCGCTTCTCCCTTTCTCGCCACTTGGTGCCCCAGCACCGCCCCCCCAATCAAGACGCTGTCCTCCCTCTCCCCCTCCTCCAATACCCACGTGGCGCCCCAGCCCCAATCCCCCTTTCTCGCCACGTGCCGTCAAAGTGACGCAGCGAATCAG